ATCTCCACTGATTTCCAGCATGTTGTTGTTATCTTCTACCTGCACCTTCAAGTCTGCCCTGTTGACCCCAACCAAAATTAAAGCAGCCATTTATTTTAGACAATATTAACCTTGCTAACATGCACCCTTGTGAATATATTGCACATATCCCTACTACACACCCCATGAAGTAGGGCTGTGCATCGAAATCGAATTCGGTAAATCGGAAGTTTGAAATCAAAATTTTTCGAAATTTTGACATAAATTTTCCCGACCGAATTCGATATGGGGAATTCCGATTTCGAATTTGATGCCGAATTGAATTCGGAATTCGGTGAATTCCGAATTCACCGAATTCAAACCTGCTCCTTTTTTTTTCCTTGTTCAAAAACGGAAGAAACCTCTTCCAATTTAATGACTTCCCCAGGTGCAGTCCCCTTGGATTCCACAAGTCGGCTGTTTCTCTTATTCAAATTCAAGAGGAAAGGATAAAGGATGAAGCTGATAACATAACAATTATAGCCTATACAAACATCCTAGCAGAGTTTGAAATGCAGAAAGGAGGTGGAGGGCTTGGAGGAAGAGGAGGAGTAGACGGATTTAAGGGCGGCGGCAGCGGAGGAGGAGGAGGCGGAGGGGCGGCGAGAAGAGGAGGAAGGATTGGTCGAGAGTGGTGAGGCGCTCGCAGAGGCAGGAGGGGCAGAAACCAGTAAATTGTTCCTGAAGGTAGCGGTCACAGCTGAAGGAGGAACGCGGAGGCTGCGGCGGAGGAGGAGACGGAGATGCTGGGTCAGCAGCAGTGGGATTCATAACCGGTGGTGGTAGTGCGAAATGCCCCCCAGTCCAGTGCTGCTCATACTACTATTTGTCACTGCTTACATTCACATAAATTCGCTAGATCTAACTCTGGAATTTAAGAGAATGTTTTTGGTTAGGATTCCTGGGTCTCTGCGTGTATTTGTGCGTGTGAATGTGGTGTTTCCCTTCTTTCTTTTCTTTTTTTTTTTCTTTTGTACGTTTGTTTTTGTTAATTGTTGTTATATAATATATATTATTTATGTATTGTTAAAAAATATTATATTATATTATATATAACTATTATTATTTGAAATCGAAATCATAGTTCCGATTTCGAATTCCCCAATTCGAATTCGGTAATTCCGATTTCAAAAATTATATTTTCGAATTCGATCCGATTTCGATCAATTCGAAATCGAAATTACCGAATTTCATTTCGAATTACCGAAATTCCGAATTCGAAATTCCGAATTTAATTCGAAATCGGTCGGTAAATCGAAATTTTTCGACTTTGCACACCCCTTGAACAAACCTTGTTGTTCACCACATACATGACATATATGAAATACCCCAAACAAAAAAATAATAATTACAATTAAATCAGTTCACCTAATACATTTTTTTGCTCTTTTATCTAATATTGAGGTCATCAAATACATTTCTTGTGCCCAATTTGGGAAAAAAAATGGAAAGAATAAAGTGCTCAAGAAAAGTGGATTGTGCTTATAATTAAACTTGGATGAAAACTCTTAATTATTGGATTACATCCAAATCTCAATAATAGATAAATATCATCTTTTAGACCAATGAAATAAATGATGTTACTTAAGTTGAAGCAAATGGATTATAAAACGATGCTCACAAACATTAAGAAAAAAAAAAAAGAGAGAGATATTTAATAGAGACCACTATTTAAATGATGTTATGCTATAATTTAAACTACATGATTTTAAACTAAAGATTTTTTTTTTGTGGGAAAAAAGAAAATTGGATTAAAGAGAAAGGAACGATAAGTCGATAACCAGGCAGATCAACACGAAGGAGTGGGCATGGTCAGTTTCGCGCCAATCCACGTTGGCATGAGCCAGAGCAGACACGTCATCACCCCGGTCGCACCGCCCCCCCTGCCGGTGGTCCAGCCGTCGTCACCATAGCCAAAGGGTCCCATATATTCGAGGAGGAGAAAGCAAGGGAACGAAATCCGGCCTTCGCCCGCCCTGCCACGGCCCTAATGACGACATTAGCAGCACCACTTTTTGTTACTAATACTTTAAACCAGCTTTGTTTAAATTAAAATTAGGTTTTCTCGGGGCTTTTATAGTTGGTTGGTGCTTGATGGCCATTTTGGAACTGGTTTGCTCGGAGCGAGTGCATGGTCGGTCGTAGCAGCAGTACAGTGTACGGCGCCGCTGTTCGGTTCAAGTAACAGCCACGTTTCAATTCATTGCCAGTTTACATGGAATGATGACACGTACGTTGTTTGATGGATTTCCGTCCCATGATGACGAGGACGAGAGTTGGATTACTTTCTGGAGCAGATGGGTGTTTTGATCCTCTCATTTTTGTAACCTTAGACTAATGTAATTTAGTTGTGCCAAACTATAATGTTAATGTTGCAGGTTCAAATCCCTGCCCACTCCCTCATTTCATAAGTTCCATTCGTTTCTTGCTAATAAAAAAAAAAAAGAGAAAACCTATAATATTGAAAGTTGGTTCTGTTTGGATTGTTATCTTTTGAAATTTTATAAAAAAAATATAATGTAATGATATAATATATATAAAATAAAAAAATAATTAAAAATTGTATTCACGAAAAATGTAAAAATTTTTTTTTTTTTTTTTTGGAAAAAAATGACTTTCCAGACAAGGCCTTAATTGTTGTTTGGGTTAAGCACAAATAATTGTTCCAAATAAGTATTCATCAAATTGGGAAAGCTATGCTTAGTTTTATCAAATTCCAGGATTTATGTTTATAGGGTCAAATTTAATTTGAGTCTAAATTAGTATGAAATCTTTTTCATACTTTCTTTAAACTCTTGGTGTTGAGGTTGGGATTTCGTGTCTTGATTTTGGCAAGTAGATGTTAACATTTCTTTCACTATGTATGGATTGTTATCTACCAACTAGATAAGAGAATAACTCAAGTTCTCCATTGATGTCAAGTGTCAAGGTCTCATTTGAGGAAACAAATTTCATTTCTTTATTTTGGACATTAATGAGAGAGAAATGTCTATTTGAGCCTTGGTATTGAAGTTCAAAGGCCTAATAGTTTCTCACTATTTAGGGGCTAATTGGTAAAAATAGTTGAATTATTTTCATTTGATTCTTTTGTTTGGTTTTTAATTGGTGAGAAAGGTCAATTGAATCCTTTTATAAAAACTAGCTTTTTAAATAGTTGCTAACTACTTAGGGTTATTTTTGTCCATTTAAAATTATTCCTTTTATATTTCTTTGGTCAAATGTAAACAGTTGTAGACTATTTGGGTGTCCTTTTATCACATGGGGTGTTTTGAATTATATTATATTTATTAAATAAATATTCCTAATTAAATATTCCAAATGTAAAAGCCATTAGAACTAATGTGCCAGCCAAAGTCTTCCAAAGAAAGATTACTTCTCCACGTCTTTGTTCCCTGCATTATAGAGCTATGACGATGAATCCACTCATCGATTTCTAAGCACGTGACTCCAGTCTTTTCTCGTTCCAAACTGTAGGCCATTTTTGTACTCAAAAACAGTGAGGAAAGGAAAAGGTTTCGGCCCCTTTCTTTGGTTTGACGGGAACCAACGAAGTCAAATAAATGGTCTTATTAGTCATTGAAGTTTTTCTTCATTTAGGCAGAGTTTCCTTCCTCTTTCTTTGCATCGCATAGCCTCTTTCTTTTCGCCGATTAGTAGCTAGCTATATGAGCCTGCAAAATGTTCAGTGTTCAGTCAATTTGTCCTTTCTTTTGATTGCAACCCACAAATTCCTCCGCACGCACGTGAATTTTTGTTTTCCCCCAAAAATTAGGTCATTGAAATTTCTTTCCCCAAAATCTGCGAGCCTGCAAAATTTTCAGTTTTTTGCCAATTGTTCCAGCAACTAATTGTACTTCCTTTCGATTCACTTCCAAAAAATCCTCCTCATCCACGTGAATTCTTTTTTTCCCCCAAAAACAGCTCATTTTAGGTATGGCTACTGTACCGAGTTATCATCCATGGTACAGTTTTCAGAACTTATTATTTCCAGCCTTATATATACATTTGTTTCCCATTTTTGCCGGTACTCAGAAGAGGAGCAAACAAAATCTAGGTATGTTTCTATTTTCTCTCTTCTTATTTTTGAGTTGCAATTTTTTTACTTTGAATGTTCTTCCCTCCTGTTTATCATTGGCTTCCGTTAATTAGACACTGTCATGTGTTTCATATTATGCATAAAAGAATGATTATGATGTAATTTATCGATTAACTTATGTTTATTTTTTTCTCTGTTTTTATTGATTTCAAATGTTGCCCGACTTTTGCCAACATTCAGCCGAGCAAAGAAAATATAGGTATGTTTCTATTTTCTCTCCTTCCATTTTGAACTGCAATTTTTTTGTTTCATTGTTGTTGCATCTGTCTATTGCCTTCCGTTAATTAACGACCTCCATGTGTTTCATGTTATGCTATGATGGTTATTTTTCGGATTAACTTATGTTTATTTTTGCCTCTTTTTTAATTTCAAATGCTGCATGATGTTGTTACCTGTTTATGTATTGAAAAATTACATAATTTAGTGTTATTGTAGTTTGGGTTATTAAGGTAGTCATTCTATATATATTAGTTAGTTTTAGCTATTCTAGGATGCTTTGATTTTGTCATTGTTGTGTGCTTTTCGCTTAGTATCTTACTTTCTTTATAGTATTTATAGTAAAATTAGATTTTGATCTTTTGTGTTTCATAATGAAGAAAAAAAGAAAATTTAGTTCAGGTTTTAGACTGATAGATGAGATATTTGATGATGTTTTTGATCTAAGCATGTTAGAAAGAAGCAAAAAGAAAAACTTAAATATGCTGACTGATTAGCACTGCCCCTCTAATCATAGCTCTTCGTGTTAAAGTGACCACATTCAATAGTAAAATTTTCACTATGCATTATGATTTCTCTATTGTTTGGTTTCTTAGTACTTTATGTTATAATTACTAAACCATTTCATCATTTTTACAGCTTTGTCATTCACTACAAGGTATTCATCTGGAATTCTGATTAGTCCTTCACTCCCAGATGACCTCTCTTTCAAGCAATGGTAAGTCTACTTTTTTTTTAGATTTTTTACCTTAAATTATCAATTAAATTTACTGGTACATTTTTAATTTGTGTTCTAAACATAATCATTCAGGTTTACTTTGAACAAGGAAGAAATCCAAAATTTGCTTAATGCTAAAACATACAGTGATGCTAACTGTTTACTTCCTCCTCCAAATGAAGAAGATATCAAAGCAATCAGCACTTTTCAAGCATTATTTCCAATTGTAAGAGCTATTTGTTATTTTAAAATTCTGCTTAAATATAACTTTTTTTGTCTCTAATTGACATTCAAATACCATTCTTGGTTGCTTGACTCAGCAAAAGGCAGCTTGGGTGCAAGGAACTGTCAAACTTGCATATGGATTCACCAAATATTGGACTACTGCTTGTGTGAATTGTCACAAAATTGTGAATGTTGACATTGACTGGATCATTCATTGTCCTTCATGCAAACAGCAAAGTGAAGTTGAACTGAGGTTAGACCATAAACTTATGCTTCTAAATTAAACATTCTTCGCATTTATTACCATATATTAATCTTAATTCCTTCACTTGACTAAAGGGCTCGCATTCCAATTATAATAACTGATCCTTCGAACTCAATACATTGCATTATATTTGGAGAAGATGCTGAAAAATGATTGAGTTCACTCCACTACAACTTAAACAAGCACAGAAAGATGTAAATACAAATTTCCTGTCTTATATTCAGCCATAAATACAAATATACATAGACAAGAATTCACAGAACCTAACTTAAAAATTTTTCTGCTGTAGGGCTTTGGAATAGATACTGAACTTAATGATGCCTTGAAAAAATACACAGTTGTCTGTTTTCTGAAATCCTATGAGACTCCCTTCCAAGGTCAACTGCAGAGAAAGAATACTGTCATCAAGGCTTACACTGCAGCTGAACTATCGCACCATCCCCTTCCACTGGCACTTCCAGAAAACACTCAAGTTTCTTCTGCACTTGGCAGTTCATCAGCAAGGCATCCAGAAAAATCATCAAAGGATCAGATGTTCACACCAACGACAAAGTTGGTACTTGAAGAAATTGCTGGAGCTAGTTCTTACAAAGATGGGCAGACGTCTAGAACCAGTGGAGCAAAAAGAAGCCTTGACTTTCCAGAATATTTACCAGCAGACACACTTCCTGAACATGCAACAAAGACTGCTGAACAGTTTGCCAAAGAACCTGCAAAATCATATAGCCCACCTGGCAATATGAAGGATAGTCCAGCAAAGAAAGCTAAAGCAAAGGAAGACTGATATGGTCTAATTCTGTACTTTTGTTATATCTTTTGTTCATTGTCTTGATGACTGTCTTGATTGCTTAGACAATGCCTTTTGAATTACATTATGATCCATTATTCTTTTGACTTAAAAAGTAATGGATCCTAATATATCTATGAATGGTTTAACCATCAATGTTGTAATTCAATAGGCAATGAAACTTATTTAAACCCCCTAATATGTAACTGTGGCTTGAACTGAAGTGTGTGTTCTGCTAAGACATAAATGATTGAGTTTATGTAATCTATGGTTGTGATTTGCATATTCATTATTTACCTCTTCATTTTTCAGTTGGTCATATAGATATATGGTCTCGATTGTCTAGCTGTGATTGAGTTGTTGTGATAAATATGATATTAGTTGATCATATCAGTGGGTAGGTCGCTGCATAGCACGGCCAAAACCATGCTAGTTTCCATATTTGTGCATACTATTGGTCAATAACTTGTAATTTGTCAAAATTCATCTCACCATTATGGGTTTGGCTTGTCATCTAATCATTATTATTACAAAATAATACTGGCTAATATGAAAGAATCTACTTTTAAGCCGAGTTCCCCTTAAGCATTAGATAGTTAAGACGTTACTCTTTCAATCTCTGAATTTGGCAATTTAACTTTAATTTTTGTGTGTGTCAATCAAGTGCTGTAACATTACTATTTCTGAGAGAAACATTCTTTTTAATTTCCAAGTCTATGACTATGAGATGATGCAAAATACACAACATATTCTCTCGCGGTCTTACACCACAGCAATTAAAACTCTCCGTCTCCACTGAACTATTCAAGCAGAACGCACGCAAGTGGCATTAAGTCCGTAGGGTGAATTAAACGTTAGTCCTCCGAAAGTTGCGATACTATAATTGACCCCTCCATACTTCAATCCTTTCAAATTTCCAAGTGCTGTCAATCAAGTGCTGTAACATTACTATTTCTGAGAGAAACATTCTTTTTAATTTCCAAGTCTATGACTATGAGATGATGCAAAATACACAACATATTCTCTCGCGGTCTTACACCACAGCAATTAAAACTCTCCGTCTCCACTGAACTATTCAAGCAGAACGCACGCAAGTGGCATTAAGTCCGTAGGGTGAATTAAACGTTAGTCCTCCGAAAGTTGCGATACTATAATTGACCCCTCCATACTTCAATCCTTTCAAATTTAGCCTTCCAATTTCAAAAAATTTTCCCCATTAGTTGAAATGATATGGTGATTGGTGTTGACTGATGTTGGCTTAAATCCACTAGACAGAAACACAGAGGTCATGAAAACCACATGAGGTGTTATATGGCAATCACTTAGATATAGTCCACTTGATTTTTAGTCTTTTTTTTTATAAAAAAAAAATATTTGGATGAGTTCAACTCCGATCATTACCACGATTAAGCCGTACCCCCTAGAACATAGGTTATTTGCCTGATTCTTATAAATTTTGTCCTATCATCTTCAGTTGATAATACCTCAGTAGAAAGTTAAACCCGTTCAAATTATTTTTCATCATATGTAAATGGAAGCAAATTAAAGTACATGTGAGAGCATATGCTAGCTGCGTCAACCATGAACAAGTTTTGAATGTGTTCTAAGGTATCTCCATTCTATTCTTTTCTAATACAAGAGTAGGGCCATGTGGAGGGAGAACCCCCTCCCCCCCTTTTAGAACATATGGAAGGGTCCTTGTAAAACATTGATAATTTTATTGTCATCCCTTAACCCTTCTTTCATAGCTAAAGTTTTTTTAAAAAATATATATATATATATAATTTGAAAGTAAAATTACGTGAAATGGCGAGATTTTTTTTTTTTTTAGGAATCTAGTTAGATGCCATGCTTCTTTATTATTTTTCTTGTATGGTAATTTAGCAAGATACAAATGTGCTTAGCTTTAGCATGAACCACAGCTATTCTTAAAAGTTGGCTCCATACATTATTGTATCAGATACAAATTAATTTTAAAGGGATATATTCGTGCCAAATGTAGATTAATTTGACAATTCATTGAAGTAGCTAGGTTGTAGTTCATAATTGACAATTATCTTTCATTCCACGTCAATTATCTTTCCTGGCTAAACTAATTTCGGTTTGAGCAGTGACTAGTGAGCTAGTAATGGTATGGTGTCATGGACAAGTTTATTTGACTTCTTATGGTTCTCCATCAAATACTGCACTCAGAGAAAGTTAAAGTCCACAAAAACTTGAAAATATAGAAAAGTTTAATTTCGTATCATCAACTGACAATACTTGCACCAGATTGCATCTGAGAGTATGCCAGCCCCAATTTATTTCTAACCAAAAAAGAAATTGCAAAATTACATTAGGGACCAACAAGAATGGCATTGAGCTGATCATTGCCATAATTACGCTGGTCTTCTACAATTTGTTTAACAGAATTGGTGGCAGAAGCCCTACACCATTTCATCTCAATCAATTGTAGAGTTGGAATTTCTCTAAATCTCTTCAAGTTGCCCACAGCTTAGCACTACAAGTTGCTCAAGGAAGGGGAGGTGCTCGCTAGTTGCATTCCACTGTACAATATCCAGAGATTCTAGTTTCAAGAACTTCAGTTTCTGGAATTTGCCTTCTCTCATGTCCCATTGCTCCCCTTCGAATGCCTTGTCGTGTGATTTTAGAACCTCAAGATTTGGTAACTGGCCAATCACTGAAATTTCATGCCACGGTAGGCGAGCATTCGACATTGTCAACTTTTTCAGCTTTGAAGGGAGGCTAAAGATAAGGGGACAGGGCGCCCAAGCATGGAACGACATCTTGAGCGATTGAAGTTCACACAAAAGCTCTAGTATCCGAAACGGATTGCAAGCTTTAAAGTAATCCTTCCATTTTCTTGAAAATATGCATCCTAATTTCTCGATGTTGGGTAGCCTCCTCAAGAACTTCTCAGCACTTCCATGTTGTATAGAAATGGTGGAAATGGATTTCAGATTATTCAGGTCAGAACAGTTTTCAAGAAACTCTTGACTGTAATATTCGCAACTGAAGAAAGAATGATCCAGTATAAGCTCCCTCTTCATTGCCGATTTCCAAATAGTCTCTGGTAATATGACGTTACCAATTGCACCACTGATAAGAAAAGTTTCCAAGTTTCGGAGGTTGCCGATATCAGAGGGAATATTATTTGTACGAATCCGGACAGCCAAGTATTTTAAGTGAACCTGCTTGGCTATCTTGACAAGATTAGATGTGTCGGCGCTACTTTGGACTCGAACATTTCCCAAGCCTAGCACACTAAGGTGTTTGCACTTGAGAATTGAACCATAATCTAAGTGCCTGCTTTGGCTAGTTCTGGTGCCAAGCACAAGCCCTTTTTTATACCCTAATCCTATCTATTCGGAGAGATTATGCCTGCCCTTAGAAAGAAAATCTCTGAACGCACATTGAGGAGGCAGAGACCCTGAACTCACTAGTTCAGTTCCACCAGGTTTATGAAAGTACAGCAATGAAGAGATGTTCGTAGAGATGTGCAAAAAATTCAAACCATGCAGTCGGAAACTACCCAAAAGATTTGCAATTCCATGAGAAATGTCTTCTCCTGTCATAGATCGTCTTTTCCCAAGTTTTGCTGTGCAATATTCATGCAGCACATTATGAACACAGACATGCTTTGACTCCTCCCTTGGAACTTTTTTTGGCTATCATTACAAGACTTCTATCAATTAACTCATTCAGGTAACTCTCTGCCTCTTGCTTTAAGTTCTTGCGGCCCCAATTTGACTGCTGCACAAATCCTTCGGAATTCCATAACCGCATCAGTTTTGACACTGAAATTGTTGTGCCCTCTGGAAAAGTTCCTAAATAACAGAAGCATGGCTTCAAGTGATCTGGCAAGCGCTTGTAGCTAACTTCAAGAATTTCCAGGATTTGTTCCTGTATGCTTAATGACCTGAATAACGTCTTAGCGACATGTTTCCCAGAATCCTTTTTTCTCTTTGTCCTTTTCAGAGTACCAGCTATCAGAACCAATGCAAGTGGCAGCCCTTTGCAACAGCTGGCTATACGGCATGAGATACTGGACAATTCCTTAGGACAAGGATCTCCATTAAAGAGCTTCATTGAGAGCAATTCATAGCTCTCTTCATCGGAGAGCAGACGAAGAGCATAAGTAAGGCTTTTAGCTTCCAAAGCAACAGCATGGCTCCGAGTAGTAAACAAAATTCTACTCCCATTCCCGTCATCAGGGAAAATTACCTTTAAACCATTCCATGCCTCAATATCCACACAAGATCCTAGTGCCACTTCCATATTTATGCAAAGTGTTCTATTTATTTAATTTGTCATGTGCTATTTATTTAAATTTCTTCTGTCATCACGTGATAAGTGGAATTGACACTGAATTTGGCACCGAATAGTGACATAGAGGATCCCAACTAAACCTCGCGGGGGTGTCTACTAGCACACGGGATCCTCTGTGTCACTTTTCTAGTGGCAATTTAGTACCACTTCTATATTTATGCCAAGTGTCCTATTTATTTAATTTATCATGTATTGTTTATTTAAATTTCTCCTACCATCGCATGATAAGTGAGATTGACACTGAATTTGACACCGAATAATGGCATAGAGGATCCTAACTGGTCTACTAGACCAAAGCCCGGTGGTTGAAAAACTTCTACTGGTCACGTTGGTTTTTTGACCTTGACAGCACGAGCACCTTAAGGCGACACCCTGACCAACTGGGCTAATCCAGTTGTTTAGCCATACGAAATAACTAATTTAGCATGGATTAAGACATTATCCAATGAACGAAAAATTCTAGGAAAAAAAAAAACTCCCCCACCAAGAAATTTTAGAAATGTAAAAGCTTATTACACAAACGAAAGAGGAGTTTCAAGAGACTCATGGAAGGAATTTTAAAGAGTAGTTTTGGGTGGAAGGAATTTTAAAGAGGGTGAGGAGAATATTAAAAATGGAAAAAAAAAACTAAGTAGTAGTAGTTGGTTTGTGATAATCCAAGAATGTAGATTAAGACATTAGCGAATCAAAGAATACGTAACTTCTTACCATCCATAAATATAAAGCAAGTTTTGAGGGAAATATGAAATCAAAAAGCCCCAAAAAGATAAAAATCCTTTCTTCATTTGGCAAAGCTTTTAATTGCATATTTGCATCCTTTCCAATCCAACTTGACGAAGACAAATTTTGCGGTCACCCATCGGAGCAGCCAAGGTCTCAGCACACTGAAAGCATACTTGCCGTCAGAAGCATAGAAGCATTGAGCCTATTTGGATAGAAATTATTTCTTAGCATTATAAACACATTTTTTAACATACTTTTTTATCACATATATTACAAAAAAATGCTATAATAATTATTCTAAATAATATTTTAAATAATTTTCTATCCAAACACACCCATTGAAAGGACACGAGGCCCCGGCCCGAACGATTGTTAGAAAAATCATTTAGGTCGATTTTTTGCAAAATACACAAGATATAATTTTGTATGCACATGGTGTAACTTACTTTCAACAACATATAACTATAAAACAAAATTTTATGTGTCTCACACATGATATGAAAAATGACGTACAAGGTACAATCTGAATCTTTTATATATATATATATATATATATATATGTATATATATTGTAAAATCTTGACTATCAACCTTCAGGAACGGTTGTTCCTACCCTCCTTCCCGTTGAAACTTGTTTAAGATGTTAGTGACCAGCCGTCTACACACGGGATGTTCAGTGTCACTTTTTTAGTGACAATTCAATGTCACTTCTATATTTATGACAAATGTTATGTTTATTTAATTTATCACGTGCTATTTATTTAAATATTTTCTACCATCATGTGATAAGTGAGATTGACACTGAATTTGATATCGAATAGTAGCATAGAGAATCCCAACTGAGCCGTCCTGACCTTTGGATTTTGTGATTATTACCTATCAACTCAAGGGACCTCCCCAACTAGTGGTCACTTATCAAAAAGCCTTTTTTACATGACCGAGGATTGACAGATTACTAGCCTCAGAAAACGATTAGCCACAATTGTATGGGCCAGCATAAAACTTTAGATCCAAAGACCATCCAAATACATTATTGCGCCTTATTCTATGCTCTAAATCCAAACACTTAATGCGTCACTGCTAACATTATTTTTTTTTCCCCAGCAGCCCATCACTAAAATTCAACCGACATAACTGCGTCAGTGCTCAGATCTTTACTTGAAAAAGCCCCTAAACTTCCAGCCAAACGTTTTTGAATTACAATTCTCAAACAAATTTTTAGTTATCCGTTATATTTCCTTCAAATAGGTAATACTCCGATGAAATACAATTAACTGTACTGAATTGAAGAACTATTTTAGCTGCTACTCATTTCAATACTTTCTCAAAATTTCTTTGTTTTTTTTTTGAAGAAAATAGGAATGCCACTTGTACTTTTGGAAAAGAAAAAGATTGCAGAAAAATAAAAATTCCACTTTTACATTGGAAAATCCACTCAACCTCCAAAATTATTATGCTGTTATTGGCAATACCGTCACTGTTGAGAAGATATTAGATGGAGGACAGGAGTAATGGATAAGAGTACACATTTGTCCAAGATTGTCCGCAGCCGCCTACCAGGACCCGCCTTTGTGTAACAATTCTGTAATGGAAAGGACAAACGATCTTTTGTTCTACGCCTCCTTCGCGGGGATGCCTCACTTATGCATAGCACTAACCTCTGCGGGCTCCAACAAAATGGGAATCTCCTTTTTCGGCGTCTATATAGTGGAGCCCTCCTCTTTGCGGCATTTTCACAAGCACTTGCCAATCCTTTTTTTTATTCTTCTTCTTCATCTCATACCTCAAGAATATCCATGGCCGAACAAGATCCAGTCAAATTTGGCATTCTGGGCTGTGCTGAAATAGCCCGGAAAGTTTCCCGCGCTATAAGACTTTCCCCCAACTCCACACTCTACGCCGTAGGCAGCCGTTCCGTCGAAAAAGCAGCAAAATTTGCTAAAGACAATGGATTTCCGGATTCAGCTAAGGTCTTTGGCGGCTACGACGCCGTTCTGGACGATCCAGACGTCGACGCCGTTTACATTCCGTTACCCACTAGCATGCACGTCAAATGGGCTGTTTTGGCTGCCCAGAAGAAAAAGCACGTGCTTCTGGAGAAGCCCGTTGCCCTTAACGTTAAGGAGCTGGATGTGATTCTGGAGGCGTGTGAATCTCACGGGGTGCAGTTCATGGATGGTACCATGTGGATGCATCATCCTCGTACTGCAAAAATGAAAGAGTTTCTTAATGATCCTCAACGATTTGGTCAACTTAAGACGGTAATACTATATACTTTCCATTCCCCAAAACAAACGTTGTTTAGTACTAGCAGTTTCTTTTTTGTCATCTTAAAATTAGATAGACTAATTAATCAAATATTTTTGCTTTGTGGGCCTTTTCCCTGCTGATCCTAACTTCAAGTCGTGTAATCTGAGTAGAAATTTGGACTTATTTTGTTACTTAATTCGGTTATACTTCTGATGTACCAGCATGCTCTTGGTCCAGTCAATCAAGATGGTGTTTTTTTTTTTTATTTTTTATTCTGAAGCTGATTATGGAAAAGCATTCTGGATAACCTGTTTTAGTAGGTAAAGTAATGTTTTTGCTTTCAGAACTTCAAAAGGTTCAGTAGAAGTTCAAAGACACTAGTTCCTGAAAATGTTGCTTTCAGAAGCATCAAGTGTTAGCTCATAATCATTTTTTGAAGATTAAAATAAGCTAAGAAAGCATCTGAAAACAGATTTTGTTGAGAAAAGGCACAATCAGGTGATTGTAACCCCATGGAACGAGCCCTTAATATTGTTGTTAGTTCTTCGTTGCCTTGGTTAAAATAAATTCTAAAGGTAGAAATCAGTGATGATATTGATCCCCCTTATGCGTGTCATGATGTTTTCAGCTGCTGAAGACAACAACGTTGAGCCTTCATCTTAGGTGAACTTTATATTTGCCATATTACATGATACCCAATGTGAAAGTTGATTACTTATGATGTTCTCCCTTTTCCCCATAGTGAAAGTGCAGATGTCTCTGTCTTCTATCACTGGGATTCAACAATACACGGGGTTTTATTCTAGTTGTATAGATGTCAATCACCCTTTATTTTCCTCGGTTACTTTGGGATGTTACTTAGCTTTGTGAACTTTTCGTGGTCATTGAGGGTAAAATGCTCTAAGCGTAAAGCCGGATGACAGAATTACTGGTAGTTGAAAAGAAATGCTCCTGGCTAGTCCATTCTTTGGTATGTAGGTGCAAGTTATATGTTGGTGATATCCATATATTTGAACAGAAACACAAAAAGTTTCAGTAGTATTGGTAGTGTTAGTTATTGCAATAAATCAAGGTTTCATCTCAGTGGTCTCACTTTCCTTGCGGCAACCACTGATGATTAATTTTAAATCTTAATGCATAGTTGATTGACTCTGTAATTTTTCAGGTGCAAACTGTTTTTACATTTGCTGCTGATCCTGAGTTTCTGGAAAATGACGTTCGGGTGAAGCCAGAGCTGGATGCTCTTGGTGTTCTTGGTGATGCTGGATGGTACAACGTCAGAGCATGTCTGTGGGCTTTTGATTATGAGCTACCGAAAAAGGTAACCGCATTGCCTGGCCCTGTTTTCAACAAATCAGGGGTGCTGGTATCCTGTGGAGCTTCTCTGTACTGGGAAGATGGGAAAGTGGCTACTTTCCACTGCTCTTTCCTGTCCACCTTGACGACGGATGTAACTGCTGTTGGTACAAAAGGATACCTGCGCCTTCATGACTTTGTTATCCCTGATGAAGAGGACAAGGCTTCATTTTTTACCCGTGAGAATCCAGGGTTTGCTGAACTTCAGAGGGGGGTGGTTGCCGACCGAAATGAGCATGTCGTAGCTACTGATCTACCTCAGGAAGTTAAAATGGTCATGGAGTTCTCGAGGTTGGTTGGAATCATTAAAGCTGAAGGTGGGAAGCCTGAGAAGATATGGCCAACCTTCAGTAGGAAGACACAACTAGTTCTGGATGCAGTGAAGACATCAATTGAGAAGGGCTTTGAATCCGTTGAGCTGATTAGTTGATCATACTTTTTCCTGTTGCCCATTTGGCATCCATCTTGAATTAGCAGTTCTTCCTATCTTTGCCTGGCCAATGGTATGTAGTGAGTGCTCTTTAATTTATTCCTTCAAAAATCTGGTTGAAAGTTTTGTGAATGTTGCTTGGAATTCATTTCCACCTTTGAATTGTAAACTTAGTCAATAAGCCTCTAAA